GGCCGGGCCTTCCCCTGCCGCAGGGCTACCGCTTCGCCTTCTTGGTTGGAGCAGTAACATGCTGTAGTGGTCAAACAAAATACAGTAGACAAGAATCAAATCACATCAGTTTGAGATCTAGTCCACCTGTGAGTGCCCAGCTCAGATGATTTTCTTTTCCGCTCTTTGGTTGGCAAATTTACACCTTTGTTTGTTTGCTGTTCTGTTTTACATTAAAATCCCCAGGTGGTCAACAGTAGCTATCTCATTTTGGTGGCACATAGACCAAGTACTAATTAATAAATGAAGGGCTTCTCTTCCTTACACCCACTCTTTCTGAGTCTGTGAAAAATAGGTCAAGCCAGTAGTACAGTTGTACTTCTGACAACTTGGAAATCTGCAAAGACAAAAGTTATTCTATTTGATATCATCTTTATATCCCATCTTTATTTATTTCATGCACATTTAAAGAAGCAGAGAGAGCAGTTTTAACATTTCAGTGTGAGTGAGTCCTGGCTGTGGATCAGTCAGGCTCAGCCAGGCTGTTGCTGCTGATTATTGGAGCATTTGACTGCCAACAGTGGCCAAAGGAAAGGGAAAGCATGGGCTTGTCATTTCCATCACCAGCTGCATTTCAGGGGATTTCCCTTGGGCGGCCACCACCTTCCAATAAAAGTAGGTCAGACCAACTGTTCAGCTGGAAAGACAAAGTGAAATACTGCCAACATCCACAGCCAGCGCCACAGAATGAGTTAAACTTGTGTTTTAAAACCTAGCATTAACATCAAAAACCCATCTGTGAGGCTGTGTTTCAGACTGAACCGGATTCAGCCTCTGCCTCTGGCATTAGCTGGGAAACATCTGATGCCCGAATATCAGCAATAACTATAATCCTTCTCTGTTCTATTGGTGCCTGATTTTAATAAATTCTCCCTCTACTTCACACTCACCCACTGACACACACAGATTTGTACTTAGCTATAAGACATGTTTGCATTGTAATCACTAATAACTTAGTCCACTTTTTTTTCTTTTTTTAAAGATTTAGTTTGGTTCAACCAGGTCTGTGGTCAGCAGTCAAATGATCATTACTAGTTAATGGGCGCTTTGACCGTGTTGTGATGCATGCCTGCCTAGGTGTGTGCACAATTGATTTGATTTGATTTATTCTTTCAAGCATGTAAAAACAGTTGATATGACAACACACATAATTTTACACATAATCCAATATCAATTTGCTTATACCTAGTACATGCTTGAATGGAGTAGGAAGAAGTCAGACTTATCCAGTCCTACCCAATGACATCATCTTACCATCATTGGTTTGCAAGCAGTAAATGATTCACTTCTACCCACACACATATTATACTAAAAAAGATTATAACAGTGTTAACATTCTTACATAATTACATTCTTAAGTAATTATCTTCTACACCACACAAGTAATATACTAAAAAATTATTACAAAGTGTTAACATTCATACACCACACCCACAAATGTCCATGTAATTAATCATTGAGCCTGTTCTTGCATATATCTTGATTGACACATACCTTTATATTTATGTTTATACTACAATGCTCCTGCACTGTGGTTGTTATAACCTAGGATGTCCGCCAGTATGCCAGAAATCCGCTAAACGGTCAAACTCACACATCTCTTAAAGGGGATGTGAGGTTACACACTGATTGGATAATTGCATGTTACACCCTAAACACACCACTGCTTTAATGAGATCAAGTATAGCCCTTTCGATACTTGTACAAGCAAATGAACCATTTTTCTTCGTCATCAAATTACTGAAATGAACATGGACACACCCAAACACCACTTGCACCAATACATCTTGATCAGATGCTGTGGATCCTCGAAATAGGGCCCTTACTGTGGTATCGGTTTGCACAAAGAGAGTCCAAGTGGTCCTCCAGTTACATTTGTACATAAACATGTCCAGTGTGTATGTGTGTGTGATGGGCTTCTTGTCTTCCAGGGGAAAGTTTGCTGTTGTCAGGAAGTGCGTGGAGAAATGCACAGGCCATGAGTATGCTGCAAAGTTCATGAGGAAGAGACGAAAAGGCCAGGACTGCCGGATGGAGATCATCCATGAGATTGCAGTGCTCGAGCTGGCCACAGCCAGTCCCCGGGTGGTCGGCCTCCACGAGGTCTATGAAATGGCTTCTGAGATGGTGCTGGTCCTGGAGTTGTGAGTATCCACCCTAAGCACACTGACCAAACACTCATAGAAGCCTGAAAACATGAACCTCAACTGTTATTTAAATCTTGCAGTCTGGGCCGAAAATGTGCACTGCCATGACACATTTCTGAGAATGCACTCACCTGGCACCCCCTGCAAAAGGCAGCATATGCATTTATTTATTTGTATATTTATGTCAGGAGGCAGAGCTCTGCTCCACTGGGCTCCGGCACAGTTTAACCCCTGGCCACAACAGTTGTCGATGATCTCATCTCACTGGTCTGCTGCCTGGGCTGTGATTGACCTAGTTCCCATAGCATGTGTGTGTGTGTGTGTTTGTGCCTGTGTGTATCAGTTCAGTTCACGGCATGCCAGGCCAATCAAGAGGGTCTCTCTCACTTCCCCTCTGGTTTTCTGTTCCCCCGCCACACACACACACACACACACACACACACACACAGGCACATAGATGCAAGTCTGTGTTGAAACCATAGACTGTATATAAAGATGGGCAGCCTGACAACTCACAGAAGTGAAGCCAGAAGTGAATCAACTGCCCCCTGGTGGCTGGTACAGTATAGGTCATAAACCCCACCCTGTCTATATTAGGAGATGGGTCGTGAGCTAAACTAAACATTCAAAGTACAAATCAGATATATTTTTTCCAGGGGTGGTTTCTGTTGCCTTTGGTAGTTTTGATTGGCGTCTGATGCTGTCACTGTCTCATTGTTAGTGCACAGAATCTGTTTCTAAATAGTTTACAAATAATAAGTATGTTATATTTCTTATACATGCATATATAAGAAATCTCATCTGTCCCACCTCTCATGTGGCAGTTGGTACAGTTTATTTTTATAGATTGTCAATTAAAAGAATATAACCATGATAAACCATAGCCACAATCATTTTTCTGTATTTCAAAGTTTTTTTTTGTAACACAGGCTACTTGATGGTGCTGACATGCTGCTGTTCTTGCCCATTAAGGCTTCAAGAATGTTACTGAATAAAACAAATAGGGAGAATTCATTATATGTTTTACTCGAGGGAAAAGAACATACATTAGCAATGAATAAATGCTAAAGCAGCACATTGTGGACAATATTGTCTTTGTATGTCAGCAACAGCTGGACTCAGAGATACTAAAGGAACTGACGCTGTACCAGAAGCTGGCAGTTGAAACAGAGCTGACATGGTAGAAATAAGCAGCAGGTGGAAAGAGTCTACAAATGATATAAAATGCTCAAAGAGGTTTAAGATTCAGTTAAGTTAACTGGAAGGAACTGAAGCATCATGTTGTTATGAAAGAGGTAAGAATAATGTAAATATGATGGAGATATTTAAACAGACGGAGACGATGAATGGGAGCGAGAGAATTCCCAAGCGGCATTGCTGGCTGAGCTCCAGCTGGCAGTTCACTGTGTCAGTTGAGCCTCACGAGCGCATGTGACCAGCCAAAGCATGGGCGCCCTCCCAGAGATTCACACAGGAGTGACCTGATGGATCAGACTGATTTATTAATATTCACATAGACAAACCCGTTTGTGCGGTAACAGTTTAGACTGTGTTATTGAAATTTTGTGACTTCTTGTCTTCATACATAAAGGACTTCTTCTGTCTTGTTCTTGCTGTCTGCAGATCCCATGGTATAGATGGTGCTGTTCTAGCGGCAGCTTGTTGCATCGTGCTGTGATTTTATATTTTTTGTGGGTAATTCACTGTTGTCACTACCTTTAAATGCTCTCTTCGATGTGATTAGTGCTTGGTGACCACAAGTGTGGCGTGGTTCCGGACATATTGCTATGAAAGTGTGGACACTAAATGGAGATAATGTAATTATCTATTATAAAGTTCAGCAGCAGCAAATGATTGCATTCAGTTTTTATTTATACACTGCTCAAAAAAAATAAAGGGAACACAAAAATGCTGCAGTCACAGTAGATTGACGGTAGGCAAGAATCAGCCAGAGGAAGACTTAAAAAAAAAATGAGGCAGGACCGCTGAGTTCAGGCAGGGACACATGTTAGGATTGCTGAGCTGATGAATGACAGGACCAAGCAGGACCAGGTCTGTTCCAGTCAGTCATATGGTGTGTGTAAAGGTTCCACTGTCAATTCTTTAGATCTCATCCTTGCCGGCCTGTCTAACATGTCTGAAATCACCAATTGATGATGTCAGTGGTGTGTCTCACGGGAAGACATACCAGTAAGTAAACAATTTTCCTTGAAGTTAGCTTCAATTTGAAAAGTTTACTCACTTCCAGTGCACCCTGTAAGCTCTACACACATCAAACTCTGAGCCTTTTTTCCCTTCTTTTCTGACTTTGACCAAATGTCACTGCATATAAACAGTACAAGCCGCTGATCTTCCTCCATGTTTGTTTTGGCAGCTTGCGTTCTCATGGAATTTACCTCCAGAACTCCAGTGGTTACTGAGCAGTGGTTCAGTATTTACTCAGTCAATTCATGCTCCTTCCTGACTGTCAGAGACTACCTGGAAGTTAGCGGAAACCATTTTTATATCTGTTTTTCAGCTTCAGCTTTGTTCCAAGCTTTATTAGACTAGGGAATCCTGGTTGCTATGGAGAGTGTTTACCTACTCATTTCAGTCTTCACTCAAGCTAAATTGAGTTTTCAGATCAACTTGAACAATAAACACTATGTTTTATCTGTGAAATAAGATTAGCTGACATTGTACACTGAAGCAGACGAGTCAAATCTGATTCTCCAAGCACTTTTGTACTTTGATAAAAATAAAAAAAAACTATGGGAAAATGCCATTAGCACTAAATGTTTATGTACACTATGTAGACATAAACTATAGTTTTCACATTTATGAAATTACATGAGTATCTGACATAGCTTATACATGTTTTATGTCTTCAAATTAGCTCTTTAAAGGAGCTCTAGATAGGTATTACATGAAAGTTGAAGGCCATTTCTTCTCACCAGTAACATCTCATCACCTTCCTCTGAGATAAAATCTAATTCACCAGCACCCTCAGGGGACACCTTGTCTATTTTGGCCTAAGTCTCCTTTTTTTTTTTGTTCTAATCGAGTTTGTTCATCATTTGATCTCAGGTCAAAAGAAACAGTAGTAGTTGAAGAATTTTTAATACAGTAGGTGCAGACAGTTTTCATTTCGTTGTTTATTTTAGATTCAGTGTGTTGTCTTCTCACATCTCGGGTAGAAAGAAGGTCGACTGCCATCAGTCAACTGTAGAAGTGGCCTTGTTCAAGTGAAACTCATAATTAGTTTGCTATATTTGGAGGTGCTCTGCTATATTGGTCACCTCCAATAGCAACTGGGTCCAGAGAGTGATTTATTTCCACGGTGTCTTGTGGGATTCACCATAAAAACCTTGGCAGCGTTTTGGTCAGGTGGTGTATGAAACAGGGAACACAGACTGTAGTTTGGGTTTCCTGATCACATTTTCCCCCACAGTCCAAACGCATGCAGGTTAGGTCAACTGGAAGCTAAATTACAGACAACATGTTGTATGTGCTTGACCTTGGCCAACAAGGTCAAAAATGACTGGTCTGTGTTGTCTTTACACTCAAGGATTTCAAAGGGGCAAGTTAACATGGTTTGTATTCTTATCTGATGTGTGTCTTGCGTAGTGCGGCTGGAGGTGAGATCTTCAACCGTTGTGTGTCACAGCAGGAGGATGAGGCCTTCAGAGAGGAGGATGTGAAGAGGCTCATGAAGCAGATCCTGGAGGGAGTCGCCTTCCTCCACCAGAACAACATAGCACATCTTGACCTGAAAGTTAGTGAAAAGATACATACACATGATTCTCCACTTAAGCATTTATTTTACATTTCGTTTATACTTCATTCACTTCCACTCTTAGTTCTGGGTTCAGACTACACAGTTTAAGCCTGATAGTAGCCTGACCTGATTTTCATAGTGCATCATGACTCAAAATGAGCTGATAGTTTTACCTCATACAGTAAATGGTAACCGGTGTCTGGGACACCTCACGACATCCTGACACAAATTTTAACATGTCAGATTTTTTTTTTCCTGTTTACAACATCATATAGCTGTATAAAAATATCAGCTATCCACCAGTTCTTGAATGCATTTGTGACATCTTGCAGTGTCTAACCATGTATAGAGATTTGGTTCTATTCATCCATGTTTTTAGCTCTCTCTTTTGATTTGTGCCTCCATCCAAGTACAGTGGAGGTAAACACACTGTAGTTTGTGGTGCTCACAGTTCTGACAGAAATATATTTTAAAATGTCAACAGCAACATCTCTTTTCTGAAACAGTGTCCTTGTCATTCATGATAATATATAAAACATTGTCAACAGTTTTTATTGAAACAACTTCAACTGCACAAATATTCCATCTGAAACTTGTGTGTTCTGTGAATTATCCAACAGTGATTCTAGAAAGAGAAGGGAAACTGCCAAATTGGTCACACACTTTTGCACTAGTGAAAACTAACTTATGAGATGCACCGTAGCTGTGCACACAGGCTCACATACGTATCCACCTGTGCAGTTGCTAAGTGGCAAACTGGCAACTACAGGTGCAGCTATTAGCCAATTAACTGGTTAACGGAAATTTAATCAACAACGGTTTCATAAATTAAACCAAAAATGTGTGAAATGTGCTGCTTTTCCTTGTTTAAACATTATAGTATTGCATTTTACCTCTTCAATTTTATGATATTATAAAGGCCAAATGATGAATTAGTAAATTCAGAAATAATGAGAATATTAATCAGTGATGAAGAAAATAATTTGATTCAGTACTTTCAGAAAATTCTTAACATTCAGTGACATTGTGGACAAGGTCATCATTAAAAACCAGAATGTATTGCTGACTCATGTCAGGTGTGGTACTTAGTTTCATCGGTCAGGAATAAAATGACTTGGGGAGTTCAGGGACTCAGATTCAGGAATTAAAACATGCCAGAAAGCTTCAGCTACAGTAAAAAAGGAAAGACACAAGTCTGAAATGTGTTATTTAAAAATATGAAACCACCACTAACACCGATATTAGTGAAGAGAAAGTATATACTAAGAGAAAGAAATATGAATATAGATTATAAGCCTATCAAACTGTACCACAGATGTATCCTGTAATATGAAAACATGTAAATGTCCTGTATAATACTGGTGAAACCTGAAAGACATTGATGCCCTGTAGGGTACAGATTAAACAGTCATGTCTGTGTGAGGGTTCCTCTGCCTTACAGTAACATGGTAGCATGTGCTATGGTGTCCTGTCAGCCTCAGAACATCCTGCTGACCAGCAGCTCTCCACTGGGTGACATTAAGATCGTGGATTTTGGTCTGTCCAGGATGATCTGCAGCCACCAGGAGCTCCGAGAAATTATGGGAACCCCGGAGTACGTTGGTGAGTTGCGGCTCAACCTCTCCTATACCATTTTATGCTAATATTTGAACAGATTTCATTGTGAGTGATAATCAGTATGTTTTCATCCATCTTTTCAGCCCCCGAGATTCTTAATTATGAGCCCATAAGCACAGCAACAGATATGTGGTAAGAAAACTCCTCTGTTTGTAAATGCAAGTAGTAGTGCTGAGTTCGACATCATGGGAAATATCATCATCATGTAAGCTTGTGTTGCTTGTAGGAGTGTAGATTCGTGTGGTTCATTTTGAGAGTTAGTAAAAGTGACTCTCTTACTACCCTGAAATGCCTGTGTGGGATTTATTAGGGTACTAACTTTGGCTCCCCCAAGTGGTAGTAAACTTTAATAACTATGAAACCTAATGTAATTTATTGTAATTCTGGTTATATAATATTATTAAATGTTTTATTATATATTTTATTTTGTAATGTACCGTCACGTTCAACTATAATTGCTACAAGCAGTACCAGTGTGTACTGCAGCTATATTGGGTGAAGGTGTGTATTTTTGTGTGGATTCTGCCATTTATCTTTCTGAGATTTTGCCCCTTCTTCCACATCAACCTGCCCTAACCCCCTCTGCACCATTCTTCCTGTTGTGTGTTCAGGAGCATTGGTGTTTTGACCTACGTCATGCTGACAGGGATCTCTCCTTTTGTGGGTGAGGACAAGCAGGAGACGTTTCTCAACATTTCTCAACTCAATGTGAACTATGACCAGGAGGAGCTGCAGCAACTGGACCAGGCCGCCCTGCCCTTCATCCAGATGCTGCTCCGCAAGCAGCCACAGTCAGTTTACTTTATCTTTAATTAAAATCCTTCAGTCTTCACTGCATACATATTATATGAGTCTGGACAGACATGCATGTATCTTTACCTCACTATCTCATCTGAAACCTGAAATTCACTTAAATGCCAGTTTTTATTGGAAATTGATTCAAAATTAGTTTTTAATTATGCATTTTGTTGTTACTGAGTCAGTCTTCACATATCCCCAGTTACAGTGCAAATGATTATTTTTTCTTTTTTTAGTTAGGGACAGAATAAGATGGAGAAAGTCAGAGGGAGTTGACCCAAACCTCCTGCTGTCTGTGATCACTGTCACTGTTTTAATGTGCAGCTGAATTCACCATTTAGTTGTTCCATTTACATCTTTGAACAAGTATGAAAGTTACGTTCATGCTTGTACATTTATTGTATATTTGATAGGAGCTCATAAATGCTGTTGACCAGCAGACACTGCTGAGATGAAGATGGAATTGTTATTTTATGATCACCACATCTTCAGACAAAATCAGTCAAATATAATCAAAGCTATGAATTTGGATATATTGGCAGTCTAAATTAGTTGCTTTGTTAATGCTTGTAAAACACATGTTGAAGGACAGACACTCCATTTCCAGAACCATGACAGATGGAGCACAATTGTAATCAAATCATTATCTTCTAATTATAGAAGACTGTTTGTAATTACTAAATAGAATGAAGGTATACTCCCATATACTTTCAAAATTAAACTTTAATGTTGGTTTTGCACAGATCAAATATGCAACTTTTAATTTTTGTCATGCACCGGTTAAAATCAAAATGGTCTCTTGACTGTGACACTTTTCAGCGCCCCCTACTGATTAAAACACATCCCCACCCCCAGGTAAATATTGAGTTTTGCTGATGCCAAACCATGTATTCTATACACAACAGAAGCAGAATGTGAGATGTTCTGCTTTATTTGTGTGGGTGTGTGTGTTTAGGGATCGAGCCACAGTGGAGCAGTGTCTCAAACATCCTTGGCTTCAGTCCTCAGACTCTCAGGAAATCCACCCAGTGGAGGAGATCCTCCCAGTGGAGGTCCAGGTGGCATCCAGCACCACCATTAGCTCCACCAGTAGCCCCGAACCTCCCAGCAGCACAACCACACCCGAGGAAGAGGAAGAAGGCCCAGTGACGGAGGAGCTGATAGTTGTGGCTGCCTACACTCTGGGCCAATGCTGCCAGTCGCCCACCTCAGAGAAAGAGGTCCTCACCGCTGAGCAGGAGGCCATCTCCAAACGCTTCAGGTTTGATGAGCCCTTTAGTGCCCTGCAGGAGGTCCCTGGGGAGTTCATCTACTTGACCCCATTCACCACAAGCATCTCCAACGTCTGACAGTCCTGTCTGAGGAGGAAAAGTTTTTTCACAGTAACAAAGCAAACCTGGTTATCCAAACTCCTCCATATATTCTCAGATGCTGTTGCCCAGTCAATCTGATTGTATTTAAGCAGCTGGATTTTAATTGCATATTTGAAGTACTACTCATATATTTCTCCCCTAAGGTATCACTTTGCTTGATACCAACCCACCCCTACCTATTAAAACAACTACAGTATGTTTGTCACTTGTATTTGATTTGGTGTGCTATAGTTTTCTTTTTCTATGAATAACTGGACGAGTGTAGACAAGGGTGACACACTGAGGCATTTCCATATACTACTGTTAAGTTTAGGAATTGAAATTTGAGGAGTGAAGACTTCTCTCTGGACCAGCTTTCAACAGTGAAACAGGGACAAATCCAGAACAGAAGAGGCATCTGAACCCAAATAGCCAGCTTCTGAACTGGGCCTTTAATCAAACATGCATGCAAAATGCTCAGCCACACTTTAGATCTCAGTAGATACCGGGGATTTTACCACTCACAAAATCTTGACACATAATAACCCTATTTTTCTCAGTGGGATTTACTTTTTTGTTGTTGTTGTTGTCGTATAAAGCCTCAGTATCGAATAAAGAAAACTGTTACAAAATGGATATTGTGGTGAGAATGTTTCAAATAAATTATGCATTGCTACTACAGCAAGGCACTAAATTTAGACCCTGGTCTAAATCCAGGTACAGCAAGAGGTTCCTTTCCCCTGCGGAAGGTGTCTTTGGTGTCTGCTGCCAAGTGCTCACTCAAGGGGAATTTGTTGGGTTTTCCTTATAATAGTATAAGGTTTAGACCTTCTTATTTAAAGTGCCCTGAGATGATTGTTAGTCTAAATTGGCACTATGAAAATACATTGAATTCAACTGAAACATAGGAAAATGCTTTTTGCAAGTTTCCTAAAATCATAAAGTACATACAATATTCACCCTCCACCTGCAGAATATTTGACCACTGTCAGTTTGTGTAAATTACTTATATTGTCACTCTGCCATTATTCTTTTTTTGAACTTGAATAGAACTTTAATTACTGAATAAACTGGTTTGTTGCTGTGATGTGATGTTCCCATGGCACATTAAAATGAAATCCTAACAGGAAACAGTGAAGATGTGCGTGGTATGTCAGTGTTGTCCAGTAGAGGGCAGCACAGACCTGCTAAAATTAAATACAAAGTCGCTTTTACTTTTCCTATTTTATGTGCTGTTGAGCAGCTTCATCTCGAACAAAGCATCATATTTCTTAACTGGATCATATGTTGTAAACAAAAAAATCAATGCACAAAGTAACTACTCCAGACCAACAGTTGTCGAATAAATTTAGAGTGGAAAGTTATGTCCCACTGGAATGTGGTATGGTAGACTATAAAGAGGCATTGAATACTCAAGTAGAGTACAAGTACCTCAAAACAATGCTCAGCTACAGAATTTAATCTACTTACTCTTCATCACTGATGAATCATCAGTGATAATATTCTTGCAACTACACATACGTATGTAAGGAAACATTTACTGACAACTAACAGAGTCACAAACCATGTAGTCTGGGAAACATTTATGGAATTATGTTACGGCACGCCGTATGTAGTGCGTGAGTGGACTCAGACTCAGGCTTGACAAGGTAAATGCATTTAATGTGTACAGAGGAGAAGTGACAGAACTGGTCTCATTCACCGGTCGCGGGGAAGCTGGGAGCGCTGGGTGGACTGGACTGGACTGGACTGGACTGCTGCTGATGGAACCCGGGGTTGTAGGTGGGACGCAGCTTGCTAAATGAGAACAGAGGGAGAGAACGTGAGAGAGCTGAACGGGTATGCTGAAGTTAGAGCCAGTTCCAGTGGAACACTGTGGACCTGATTAGCTGACTGCGCCGGCTCTGGGCAGGTGAGCGCCGCAGGCAAAAAGAAGCAGTCCAGGACAGCAGGAGACAGCCGGTCAGGACGAGGACGCACCAACGCTCTCCTTAAGTACTAATGATTGACAGCAGGTGTGTGTCGCCGCCCAGAATGCACTCCCACCTGTGCGGGGGCGGTGCTACTGGGATTGCACACACCGGCTGACGAGGTGCTGGGGGTAGCCAGGGCCACGGACGTAAAAGAATTATATATTGAAAAACTGCAAACATAAATCAACACAGTGTCACAGATTAGCTCATGTATTTGCTTAGTGCATAAGAAGTTTATTATAGTAAGTAGTAGCCCTCCTGGCCAGTGCAAAATATATCAAATCAAAATCAAATCAAATTTTATTTGTATAGCGCCAAATGTCATCTCAGGACACTTTCCAAAGTAAGGTCTAGACCTTACTGTTATCACTATTATTACAGAGGGAAAACCCAACAAATCCCCCTTCAGCAAGCACTTGGTGACAGTGGGGAGGAAAAACTCCCTTTAACGGAAGAAACCTCCGACAGACCCCGGCTCTTGGTGGGCGGCCTTCTGCCTCGACCGGTTGGGACCCAGCCCTAACTATAATCTTTATCAAAAAGGAACGTCTTAAATCTAATCTTAAAGGTAGAGAGAGTGTCTGTCTCGCAAACTGAGACTGGGAGCTGGTTCCAT